ACATAGACATATACATATACATATACCTATACATATATATATATATGTATACATATATATATGTGTATATATATACATATATATTTATATGTATATATATATATGTAGGTAGATGTATATGTATATATATATATATCACACACACCTACATACGTGAGTTTTATGTATATATGTATACATATAAATACATACATACATACATACATACATACATACATACATACATATATATATATATGCATTATCTGTCCTTTTTGGCAAGCCCCGGCAGGCAAGGACCTGTCCTCTCTGCACCCGAGCTCTTCGGGCCGAAGGCCCGTCAAAGTGAGCCCGGGGTCTTCGGTTTCTGGGCCGCAACGGAGGATTTTAGGGTTTGGGGTTTCGGGTTTTAGGGTTTTAGGGTTTTTATGGTTTTGGGGGTTTAGGATTCCGGTTTTTGTTGTGAGTGATGCAGGGTCTGCCCTACACCCAAAAAACCGTAAACCCTGAACCCTGAACCCTTCCCCGAAGAGGCCCTGTGGAAGACAACCCTCTTTGCCGGCGCTTGGGCGCCGTGCGCCTTGGCGAAAGAGCCAGGGCTATTATTTGGTGGCTTCGGCTTTGTGAGTTTAGCGGAGAGGGTTGAAGGGTTTAGGCGTAGGTTTTGGGGGTTTGGGAGGCCTGTGTTATTGAGGGTCTTTGCAGTGGATGACAGTTGCAGAACCCGGGGCACATTTTGCGGTACCAACCATAAGCCAGCCGAAGCAGCCTTGCGCAGAGACTGGAATCAATTCAACTGGTCTCTCGCCCTTTCCAGGCTTGGCCTCGTCCATTCCACAAGTCTGTCCAGCTCACGATTCAATTCTCTCACTCAATCCCAAAGCTCGAAACTGACGCAGCGCCTCTGAACAGCGTTAGTGTTTACGTACAGACTGACCCTGAACCCTAAACCCCTAAACCCTAAACCCCTCAACCCTAAACCCTAAACCCTAAACCCCTAAACCCTAAACCCTAAACAACTGCTGTGCTTCCAAGGCAGACGACCTTTGCCGGCAGCTTCGCATGCGACTCAGCATCCTGGCAGCGAGACCATCTCCAAACAACGTGGTTCGTAATAAGGTTTAGGGTTTAGGGTTTAGGGGCCTAACATGTGGGCAAAGAGATGGGACTTAATAATCACTTAGAATACGGGGTTGTGGTGAAGGGGACGTTCTTGCGAAAAAAAATCCGACACCACGACATCTGCTACAGGCCTTGGCATGTTTGCGTGGCACTCCTGTCTATCAGTGCATCACAAGATCCCCATAAGTGGTAGCACTCCCCCCCTTAAATTCCTGTTTGAGTATATTATAGGATGATCCACTCCAACACCCTCAACCCTAAAGACCCTAAACCCTAAACTACTAAGACTACCAGAGAATAACATGCCATTGCAAGGCAGGGGGCCCTCAGCGTGGAGATTTTAGAGTTCTTTGGGGTTAAGGGCTTTTGGGCTTCGCGTCACGGCTAGGGTTTAGGGTTTGTTTAGGGTCAGGGTTTAGAGTTCATTTAGGGTTTAAGGCAATGGTTTATGGTTTAGGGTTTAAGGCTAGGGTTTAAGGTAAGGTCTTTATGCTTTAAGTTTAATTGACCTCTTTTTTCCCACTGTAGACGCATTCGGAAAAGCTAGGGTCTCGGACTCTGAAGAGCCATCGAATTCAACCCTCGCCCCCACTCCAAGAGCCAAGAAGGGAAGTCCCAAACCCCGGAGCCCTAAGGAAAGGACTGAGGCCCGGAACTCCGAAACCCAAAACCCCGGAAGCCCATCCTATACCCGAACCCTCAAGCCTAAACCCTCAGCTCAACCCGAAAAGTCCCACCTTCGCCATGGCTGGCGCCGGTGTGTGCTCCAAATTAGCAGACGGGCTGGGGCTTTGTCTTCGAAGCCTCGCAGGCAAGCGTCGAAGCCCAGGGCTCCCTAAGGGGGGAGTTCGAGCTCAGGGTTTGGGGGGGTTGGCGAGTTTTGGGGTTTATGCGGTTTAGGGTACAAAGGGCACAGGGCTTTAGGGGTTTAGTATTGAAGGGTTTGGAGTTGAGGGCCTCTTCCGATGTGCTACACCCTACATCCTCAATCGCTCTACATCGCGATGCCACCTCCAACTCCAGGTCGTCAAAGTCGAAGTCGAAGTCTATCTGCTTCGCCATCTGCTTGGAAGCAAAACCTGCTCTCTAAGCGCGAAACTTGTAATTAAGAGCTAGGGTTGTCGGATTTAGAGGTTCAGGGCTTGGGGTGGTCCGATTTCGGGGTTCAGGGCGGTTTGGGGTAGAAGGTTGAACCAAATGCCGAAACTTCTTCGACATGTCCGCTGCGTACCCAGCGTCAGGCTTCGAGGGAGCAGTCCGAAGCTGGGGTTGCGGGCCCAAGCTGCTTCTCAGCTCGAGGCATTGGTTGATTGCCGCCGTTTTAGGGCTTAGAAATCAAGTTTAGGGTTTAGGGGATGTAGGGTTTAGGGTCTAGGGAATGTAAGGTTTGGGGTTTAGGATAGTGTCGCGTTTAGGATTTAAGGATTTCAGAGTTCCGGGCTATCGGGTCTCGGTGCGCCCCTCCCAATAAGGGAATCCTCCAAGCTCCGTCTCAAATGTGGAGAGGGGCGAGTGCTTGGTACCGGGCCGCGTTTCTGAGGGATCCTCAGGGTTGGGATGCTACTGTTTTGGGGGGGTCTTTGTAGGTTTAGGGCTTAAGGGTTTAGGGTTTAGGGTTTACTGCTTGGGGTCTTTGTAAGGGTAGCTTCCTTCCTGGAACTGAAACCCTACACCCCAAACCCCAAACCCTAAACTCTCCGGACCCCCGGATCTCAACTCTTCTCAAAGGAGTTCTTCTTTGGATTTTTTCTAGGACTCGGGTTCGGTTCAGGGTTTAGGGCTCCTGGCTTTGGGGCTTTAGGGCTTCAGGGTTTAGGGCTTAGGTAGGCTAAGTCTAGGGTCGTGGGGAAAAGACAACAAAGGGTTCTCCGCGCCTGGAGCTTTTGGCGCAGCCGCCGGTAAGTTTGATCTTCTGACGACCTCAAAAGGGTTACTGCAAGGCCTACCATGAGGGCTACTAGAAGGGTTACCGTAACTGTAAGGGTTACCACCCAAGGGATCAACAGCCTCGGCAGAGAAGACTCCGTCGATGAAACTACGAGGGTTTGGCAGCAGTAGATGATATAGTATTATATAGGGGCCAAAGGCCCTAAACTAAACCCTAAACCCTAAACGGTGTACATGAGTTGGAGATGCCAGTCGCAGCCCTCTTGAGACCGCTTTCTTGGAGGACATGCGGAGAAAACTGGATGGCTGATAAGATGCCCTTACAGTCCGTTTTTGCAGTGGGCTTGCCTCTGCCCAGAACACGTGCTTACAGTCCCTATACCCTGAACCCTAAACTACTGTTGATGATATAAATCCTGCATCACCTTAAGGACCCTAAACCATGGGAATTATGGTATATTCCTTATTATGGGTCATGCAGGGTTTATATCATCAACCGTACTGCATAGCTGCCCCAAACCAAGGCCTGACGTCCGCGCTGCTGGATGCCCGGGGGCCGGGCGTGCGCCGAGGGCACAGTGTGCACAGGCTTCTGTGTGGGGACCTCACATGAAGAGGTTAGCATGAGCCACGAAATTAAGCATGTCGGCTTGGCGGCTTGGGCCCTAGATGTCGGCCCTTCGGGTTTAGGGTTTAGGGGTTTGGGGGTTTAGGGGTTTCGGGGTTTAGGGGTTTAGGGTTGAGGGGTTTAGGGGTTTAGGGGTTTAGGGGTTAGCCCCCGGCATTGCTCTGACTGGCCCTCGGCATAAAACTGCATCGTCACTCGGCACCCGGCAACTGCTGGCGCGGAGGCACCTACGTCATCCGCACCCCGATAACATAGGGCACTCAATGGCTATGGGTTTGGGGTACGTTGCATAAGGACGACGACAAAGGCATACTCTCCAAAGTTCGGCGGGCCCTGCGTGGCATTCCCGAAAGGGTCGCAGGCCCGGCCTCGCATCGGAGAGTCAGAGTAGCCCATCGCCTTGCCGGCTTTGGGGGGTCAAAGACCCCGTCGAACCTGAAATCCAAACCCCCTCAACCATAAACCCTAAACTGCCTGAACCCTAAACTCCCCAAACCCTCTAAACCCGAAGCCCCAAATAAGCCTGGCCTGCGGCGACGGGGCGGACTGCGCACCCATAGACTGGCGAGCAGAGACTGTGATTGAAGGTGGGATTAAGGAAGAGTTCTTATATAAGAGTTCTTGCAAGATGTCTTACGAGGGTTTAGGACAAGTCGTTCATAATGAAGGTCATCCTGTCCAAAATCCTACATAGAGCCTACTCACTACATCATCTGAGACTTTTTGTATCTGCAGAAGAACTTGTAGCGGTGGTTACGGCGGCGGGTCGGTTGTTGTGGCTGCGGCAGTGGCAGTAGTAGCGCCCGTGGTCGTCATCGTCGTCGCCGCCGTTTTAGCAGTAAAGCAGCACCAGCACTCGTGGTGCTGATAGCGGCAGCAGCGATAGCAGTGGGGGTGGTAGTGGCAGTGGCCGTGGCAGTGGCAGTAGCAGCAGCAGTAGCAGCAGCAGCAGCAGTAGCAGTAGCAGTAGCAGTAGCAGAGTGGGAGTAGGACCAGGAGTAGCAGCGGCAGTGGTAGCTGGTAGCTGCAAAGGTAAAAGCAGGAGTAGCAAAAAAGTAAAGTAGTAGAACCAGCAGTGTAGTTGTATTGGTATTGGTCGTTAAAGGAGGAGGAGGAAGAGGAGGAGGAGGAGGAGGTGGTAGTCGCTGTTGTTGTACGAGCACTGGTGTCAGCCATGCTGCAATGATGAACATCAATGCAATGAAAAAGCATCGAATCGAGTATCGAAATGGACATGAAACCTTTTGCGAATGTTGTTGCGGTGACTGCAAATCGGCATTATTCCGGTTGCTCTGCATCTTATCGTGCCCGTCCCTCAGACGCTGCCTTCGAGGAAGGCGATGCACTCGCTGCCTGGCCAAGTCTGCGAACTTCTGCCGGTTGAATCGTACCATGCAGCCCACACTGCTTATGCCATGGATTTCAGAAGTCTTCCGGGAGTTGCGACACGGAAAGTCGATACTTGGCGTCCGATTCTTAAACCCTTGGGATACAATTTCAAGCTCCGGGCCCCCGAACCCTAAACCCAAAGCCCTGAGCCATCTAACTAAACCCTAAACCCCTAAACCCCAAACACTAAGCCCCAAACCCTATAATCCAAAAACCCTTTTACCCGAAACCCTAAAACCCTAAACCCTAGTTTAGGGGTTTAGGGGTTTAGGGTTTAGGGTTTAGGGTAACCCTAAACCCTAAGCCCCTTTAGGGTAACCCTAAACCCTATAACCATAAACCCTATAACCCTAAACCCTAAGCCCCAAACCCTAACTCGGTGAAGATCGGAGGGCCTTCTCCGGTCCCTCGAAGGAGAAGTCGGCAGCCTGACGCTTCGTTCCGGCCAAGACAAGATGCTTTCGGGTTTCGGGTTTAGGGTTT